GCTACCCTCTGCACCACATTGCACTGAGTTACAGCTTGTACAGAGAATTAAGGACAAGCGCATGAACAGAAATATTTCTTTCCTCTTTGTTGAGGTGGCAGCTAAGGGCCATCAGCCCACACTCTGCTCTAGAAGACAAGAGTTGGGATATCTGCCGTGAGATCCACAGTCTGACATTAGAAACCATCCTGACACAGATCTGTTGCAAACTTGCAGACAGGGCTGTACTGAGATGCCTGGGCATTTCCTGAGAACACCAGGTCTCTGCAGAGGCTCTCAACATGCCCTTAAGAGCCCATGGTGTGGATAGCAGCAGACCTGGTGCTGAGGCCCAGCCTGGATGGGTGCTTTTTTGGATGCATGTCTTCTTTACTAAGCTCTCTACACTGTGCAGCTTACAGAATGAAAATACTTTATGGATTATTAATGCTATTGCTGCTATTAAGAATAAATAAGGGTTATAGAGAGAGCATCATGCCAGAATCCTGGCCTTATTTGAAAGGATGAAGAAAAGCATGGGAGTGGTCCCATTGAAGGGAAGATCTGTCAATAGCACAGAGACCTAAAGGTTTGCAAAAGCTGGCTGGACCATGCTTCTCTATGCTCTGTAATGCCCTGAACCAGACAGACACACACCACTGGTCCCCACTCACTCACTCCTTTTCAGTAAGTTATAGAGCCCAAACATTTCTCATTCCAAGACGTTGCAGAGCTCAGGATGTCCCAGTCAGTAGCCAATACGTAAACACCCAGGAGGAACCAACCAAGAGGAATCACTTCCCATTTTCAGCCCATGAACCAAGTTTTTTTCTTGCTCTTTCGGTACCTGAGGAAGATAAGATAGTTTGCATTAGCACTGATGCCTCCAGTATGCTTCCTCCCTGTGTTATCCTTGCAACTGTTGGTGGGCTCAAGAGACACAGGGCCAAAACCCTCAGAGACAGATTTTTTCTAAGAGGAGAAGGTGTTGCCCATTATTTACTCTACATTGCTTCCCATGGAGCAAAGTTAAGCAGCCTGCATTGACCCACTGACAACTTCCTGCTTTCGCTAGGATCTCACCAATGAGGCTTGGGCCAGCTCTTTCCAGTGTGCACATTTTAAGCAAGATACCTCAATCCATAACAAGGGACCTGAATGCAGCATCCAAGTGTGAAAACATTGGCCGCTCTCCCATTTACTGAAAGAGGAATATTAGTACCAGCTCACCTCTGGGAAGCATATGGAGCACCTCCGATTTATTATTTGTTTTATTTATTTTGTCACATTTATCAGCCATTCAACTCTCTGGGCACACAGCCCATACATTAAAACCCAGAGTGTAATATAAAGATCTCCTCTATTGTGAACACATCCTTTCTGAAAAACCAGGCATGGCCATGAGGGAAGGATGAAGGATGCATTACACATGCAAAATATGACAACAATATATTTTTCTCCAATTCTGTTATTGATGGAACCATTCTGAAAATGTTGGTGACATCAAAATAATAGGATGAGGGCAATAAAAAGCAGGAGGGTGGAAAGCCATACTGGAGTTTGGGCATGTAGACAGCCTCTAGTCAGCCTGTCTCATGCTCAGGAAGTCCCTAAAATGCTCTTTCCATTATTATTTCTCTAATGACCTCATCAGACACATGTGAAATTCTGAGAAGCTTTAAACGTGTTGTAAAGATCCACAATGGCAAATGTGCCCAGTTTTTCTGAGAAACAGCAAGCTGCAATGATGAATGCTTTAACATTGCAGCATCTCAATGTGTAATTTATTTGCTGGAAATTAATTGCATATGCTGGTTTCACTTTTCTGTAGCAAATAATCAGTTTTGCTTTTTAATTAGGTAGCTACATAGATTCCTCTGCTGATCATGGCACAGCGGTTTACACATCACATCTTATTCTAAGAGAGACCATTTCAAATCATTGTCCAGGGCCTACCACAACTTTTGGGTGGCATCACATTCTCTGTCAGCTCCAACTCCTGAGTCAGTACCAATGAAGACCCCATACACCCACCAGCTAAAGAACCCAATCTGGGTTTTGGTGGATGTTATACATCTGTCATATGGGAGCTGGGAGAAACTCTACAGAGAAAACAAATTAAGTATCCTGAAATCTCAATGGTGTTGACGTGATGTCAGGCCTGAACACTGCTTTGTTTCACCAAAAAGTGTGTTCCATTGTGCGGATATTCACTGATCCTTGAGCTGAGACACTGCATTGACATTAGCAGAACTTCATAGACTAGAAGCCTCCACATCATCTGTGCCATCAATGGGTTTGATCTACATCAAACCAGCACTTTTGCCAACTGGAACAGCTGGAGCAGCAGCACAAAGCCCCAGCTAAGAGCTCATTTTACCCCTGTATTTGACAGCTGAATGGGGCTGTCTGGCACACAGGGCAGAACAAGGTGGGGAAAGCCACCTCTGCTGACATTTTCAGGAGAAAGCTTAATGGACTGCAGCAGCTGCCACTTAAAATTTTCAAGTAGGCTGAAGAGAGTAAGAAACTATGAGCTTTGGCTGCTATTGGTTACTCTCGGCAATAATTTCTATCTTAATTAATTCTAATTAAGCGATAGCGTTCAGTCATATTTACCCTTTATTGGGCTACAAGGAACCCATATTTCTACTGAAATATGCGCGACCGAAACAAAACAAATCTATCAGCAAACGAACGCTGCTGGGGTGAAATGAAAAATATTGATTATCATCGCTATTAAACCATGAAATCCTCCGCAACTAATTAATCAGCCAGGGAAAAAGTTTGTTAGCGACATTTCTGCTTCCTGCCGGCAACCTGACAAGCAGGAATCACCAAACACTCGATGGCTGCCACCTGCCCCTGAAAGTTTCCCCGTTCCTTAGCTCCCCGCAGCAGGCGGCGGGGAGGTGAAAAGCAGCCCGAAAACATGCCTGAGCGCTGAGGTTTGGCGCTCATCAGCTCTGCCCTGCCTCGCTGCCTTCCGGCTCCTCCGCGCCGCCGTGCCCGCCTCCCTCCACGCCCGCCCTTTCCGCAGGGCTCGCTGCGGGGTCCCGGGCGTGCCCGGCCTCGGGGGCGCGCAGCGCGGTGCCGCCGTGCCCGCGCCTCTCCCCGCGCCCGCGCTCGGAGGAGCTGTCCGCGGCTCGTGGTGCTGAAGCCGCAGCGGCCGCCCAGCCCCTTCCTCCGCCCCCCTCCCTTCTTCCCCGGCGTGGGCTCTTGCAGGCAGCCGGCAGCCTGGGGCATCAAAGGCTGGGGAGGGCCCCATTCCTCCCTTTGATTTCCCCCCCCGCCCCCCCACCCCATCTTTTTGCTTCTTCTGCTTTTTTTTTTTTTTTTTTTTTTTTTTTTAAGCCGGGGGAGGGAGGAGAGCGCAGCCACGTTACACCCCTCCCTTCCTGCAAATCCCCGCTTGCACTGCAAACAATCTGCCTTCCCCATTGCATCCAAGGGAGATAGCAACAGCAACATCATCACTGCAAGCCGGATGGGAGCACAGAGAGGAGGCTGCTGAGGGAGAAAGGCACACACGCACACACCAGCTCGATGTTGCCAAAGCGGCAGGAGCCGCACGAAAAATAAGCCATGCTGCTCGGTGTGTCTGGCGCATTGTGCTCTATCAGAGCCTTTTAGGAGGAAGAAGAGAATTATCCACTCCGATTTTTTTTCCTGCCTGCGAGAGTGCGACAGACTTGCGATGGTTGAATGTCAATGCCTATGAGAGAGAACAAAGTCAGAGGAGGAGGACAGAAGGGGAGGAAAATGAAGGTGGGGATGGTGGTGAAGAGAAAGAAGCACCCTCATCCAATGCATCAAAAGGAGGTCCCTGCAATTGCTGATAGAGCCCTGGCTGCCTCACCATCCACAATGGTCTGTACAAGCTGCCAATGCGTTTGATGACGTTCCTGTTTTGTGAAAGGAGGAAAGGAAACGTGACCATGTAAGATCCACGTTTCTCCGGTCAATTACATGCGAAGAATAGGTCTGATTTCGACGTGGTTGTTATTTTATTTTATTTTATTTTGTCCAGGATGGTAACTGCCTAGGGAATAATACAGCCGCCTTCCCTCACCAGTTTTGCTCTGATTTTTTTATTTTATTTTATTTTTTTTTTTTTTTGTGTGGTCCAGACAGCTGCTGGAATAGAGAAGGTCAGAATATACAATTACGTATAAAATATATATATGATATATATTATATATATTATATATATAAATATATTTATCTCAGTACATCTGGGATTAAGCTCATTGAATGCTAATTATTTCTTTCAGGACTTTTAATATTTACAGTGAAATCTTTTAAAGGCAACAGTACATTCTGACGCCACCTGGGAGTACAGTGTTGGAGACGTAGGGTGTTTTCCCATAAACAATGTGAAGGTCTTTTTGTTAAAGAGGCAATTTTGATATTAACAGCAGCTACCCATTTTGCATTTTGATAGCCAGACCGGCTGCTATTTTGTTCGGGTACACACCAGGTCTCGTGCGACTTTTATTTTATAATTGAAAAAAGAAAAAAAAAAAAAAAAAAGAAGAAGAAGAAAAGGAAAATTACTTGAGATGCCAAATACTGTCGAGAGGACCATATTCTCCCTCTTCCCCACACCCACTGGAGACGCGGACCCTTCTTTTTTACAGGCTTAGAGTCGCCGGAGCCGAGCTGGGCTCCCTCCGGAGCGCCGCACAGCGCCGTGCCCGCGCCCCCGGACCCCGCGGCGTGGGAGATTTCTTCCCTCCTGCCGCTGATTTGCAAACAAACTTGTGGAATCCGCCCCGTCCGAGGGGGAGGGGGATAAAATCCCCCCGGGGAGCAGAGTGGGTTTGTTTTTTTTTATATATTATTGCAAGATTTCAGCGGGCTGCCGGGGATCTCCCCCCTCTCGCCCTCTTTTGTCGTTTCTCGGCCGGCGAGCGCAGCCCCCCCTCAGCACTGAGGTCTCAGCAGAGCCCCCCGGCCGCGGGGAGCCCGGCTCCTGCCCTTTCTTTCCCACCTCATCCCCGCCTGTCAAGGAAAGGCACATGTTAATACCACCCGGCGCGGTCATTTTCTGTTACTGCTGCTGCGGGCTCCTCCGTCCGAGACAGATGTTGCGAAACCAAGGCCTCCTCAAGTGCCGCTGCCGCATGCTCTTCAATGACCTGAAGGTCTTCCTGCTGCGGAGACCCCCCGCGCCGCCGCCGCCCTCGCCGCCGCCGCCGCTTCCCATGCCCGGCGGCGCAGAGGCGGGGGCCGGCGGCGCCGCTCCGCTCGGGGGGCGCGGGCCCGGCTGGCGGGCGGCGGCGGCGGGCGGCGGAGCGGGCAGCCCGGGAACCGAGGAGTGGGGCAGCCCCGCCGGGGAGCCGCCCGCCTCCCTGCCCAGCAGCACCTCCTCGGATGACTTCGGCAAGGGCAAGGCCGAGGACCGCTACTCGCTGGGAAGCAGCGTCGATAGCGGCATCCGCACCCCGCTCTGCAGGATCTGCTTCCAGGGTCCCGAGCAGGTGAGGCCGTGCGCGGAGGTGGGTGGTGTGGTTGGATATTGGCTCGTCCGGAGGAAAAGGAGATGGGGACGCTTCCTCGACCGGAACGGCCCCTAGGGGAAGAGGAGATGGGGATGCTCGCTCCTAACTTAGAACGGCCCCAGCCCAGTGGGCTTTGGAGATGGGCGTGCTTTCCCCTAACCAGAATGGCCCCAGCCCAGGTGCTGGGCAGTGTCGGGGCCAGATGTTGCTCAGCTTAACTGCAGCTGTGGTTCTTCATGGAATGTTGGGGTTGTGCCCCTCTGCAGCCCAGGAGCCTGGCCTCCAGGTGCCCATCCCCAGGCTCACAGCCACACAGGTGTGGCACAGCAGGGACTCACAGTCAGAGTGCATCTCAGCATGGGGGTCTCCATCCCCGAGTGGGTACTCAGTTGTGATGATGCCAAAAAGGATGCGAAGGATGGGGATCTGGTTGTGACAATCTCAGAAGGATGTGTTTAATGTGCTGTTGGCTTTTAAGAATACAACTCGAGTCTGTAGGAACACGTGGTAGGAGGCAACCCCACCTCATCAGCTGTGCCCACAGCAAGAGCTCTGCAGCTTTACCAGAGCTTCCATGCTCCCACTGCACTTGCTGGGGGGAGAAAAACTGCTGGCTCCAATTGTACCTGCTGAAGCAGCAGCCTTGAAATGCTCTGTGGTACAGACTGAGGTTGGGCCAATGAAGTTTCCTTCCATCAAATGGGAGAATTAAATAAATGCAATCCCACTATAACATAAGGTGCCACCCTTGGAGCATTATTCTCCCTCTTTAATGACAATTACAAGCAATTCATGTGTTTTCAAGCTGGGAACTTCCATGAAATAACATGCACAGCACAATTTGCACTTAATGTGACACAACTGCAGGCAGTGGGGAAGGCTGCAGATCTCTGCTTGTGTGATCAAACCCAGATATGCAGGTAACCTTTATTATCCAGGGTAGCTCTGCGACAGTAAGGGATCCTTGCACAAGCATGATTCAAAGTTCAACTTAGCTGATACCCATTGCTATTTCAGGCACAGATTGTGACACACGGGGCATACGTTAAAATCCTGAGCAAAGCAGGTTTTGCTCCATGTCTTCTTCCCCCTTTAAGGACCTGTGCACTCTGTCAAGGAAAGCCAGTGTTCACCTGAGAATGGCCACATTCAGGCACACATCCTGCCAGTTCCAGGGGGTGATGCATTGTGCTGGGCAGTGACTGTGCCTACCACTGTGTTGGTTCACAGAGGGGGCAGTGGGCTTGCATTTATCGTCAGGAGAAGCAGGGCCTGCCATGGACTCATCTGAATGCCCTCATGTCCTCCCCATCAGAGCTAGGTGCTCAGTAGACTGTAGCCTTCTCTAATGCTTCTGCAGCTGATTGATAGCCGTGAGACACAGCTCTCACTGGGATTTTAGGTGAAAGTTGAGGAAATCATTCTTTTTTGGAGATGCTTTATGTCTTCCTCACTTGACTGTCTCCTCCGTGTCTCTTCTAAAAGTTGGAAACTGTGCAGCTCCCTGCCTGGGAATTTGCATTATTCCACGTTTCTAGTACTCTTCTCTGGCTTACAATTCTGCCTGTGTACAGGAGGCGTAGCGCCCGCATGATCGGCGTGCGTGTTTGAGCAAATAGAGCCTAAGCAGAATTAAAACAGAAGTAACCTGCTTCCTTGGCAAACATCAACACTGGGAAATAATTGGATGCTAATTTTCATGCTTAAAGACTGTGTAGGTTGTGTTGTAAAAGTGGGACTGTTTGCTGACCATCTGCCAGCCTACCTGAGTGAGAAGCCGAGCAGATGTGACTGGCATTTAATAGAGTTTCTCTCTTTCTCTTCTCACAGTTTCTGACCAATATAATAAGACACTTACAGCTGGATTCTGCCTGTCTCCCTTCAGTAGTACCTTATTCTGCAAATAATTTCTTTTTCACCAGCATGTCTTAAAAGCCTTAGCCCAGCTAAGATTTAGCACTGGTGAGCACAAGTCAATATGTGGGCCCAAGTTGGGAGTTTTAAATCATGGTCATATTCTGACACAGCTTTCTACAAGTAAGGTTTGGAATGACTGAGAACTGAATCAATGCACTGATGTCAAGACCCGCAGTTTGGTTTGTTTGGCCCCTACATCCATGAAACTCCAATGGTGCTAAATCATAGAATGCCTTAGGTTGGAGGGGACCTTAAAGATGACCTAGTACCAAGCCCCTGCCATTGACAAGGCTGCCAACCACTGAATACGCAGCCTGAATTCTACATTCTTACTCACTGAGGTGGTTGTTACTGATTTAATATTTATTCCTCATTTGTTTTCCAGCTGAACAGCTGAGCAAAGCCTCTTTTTTCAGACGCTTGCAGCAATAGATGCCATAAATGCACGTTATTCTGTACCACCCTTGCCAAGATCATCGTGAAAATGTATCCAATTGGAAAGAAAATGCAATTGCAAGTTCTTTACTGTGCAGATTAATAACAATGGCAGAAATAAATTGTGTTTTATTTACCTGTCAGAAACATCTGAAACTGCTGCAGCTGTGGGCAAATTTGCAAGGCTGCATCATAGTACCAAGAACAAAAGTCTTCATTATAAATTGACTGTTAGGCGCTTTAAGCTTATTTACTCAGATAAAATGACATTGAGTCTCCAAAAGATGTTTTAATCCTGTTTTGATTTTTTTATATATATATGCAGCAGCCAAAAAGCTTTCTTACTGATCTAGCTTCACAAGTGGGTTTTATTTAATATCTAATGCAAAGCAAAATCTGTAGGGATTTTCACTTTAAATTTATGATTGCCCACTAAGCATAATACTGCAGGCTACTGAATTGCTTCTACCTTAAGCTCCTCATGTTTGTTTGTGGCTCTTATGAGTAAACTGATTCTTTCATTATAAATGTGCTGAGCACTGTAGGAAGGAGTAAAGCTCATTATTGTAGAACCAATCCTTGCAGGTTATTCAGAGAAAAACAGTAATGCAGACAAGAATGAAGGGACCTGGTGCCCAGGTGAGCACAGCACCTCCCACTTCAAGGGCATGGAGAGTGCAGCTTGGGTCTGGCTGTTGGAAGAGACAATTGTATGTTGGGCTTAATGTCATGAAAGCCAGTGGGCTGGACTCTGAACTTGGCAATGGCATTGCCTTTTAGAGGCTTACTTGGCATTTTCAAAGGTTTTGCGCCATTGTGTCAGCTAGTTCTGAAACTATGGATTGAAAGGCAGAGCTTGAGAGAGAAAGTGAGAAAGAAAGATGCTGGAGTATTTTCATCTGTTTTAGTTAATGCTTCATGTTTGCAGAATCTTGTCTGCTTTCCTGGATCTTTGGCAATGTGCTGCAAGAGAAAGAAACTAAAGCGAGCTCTGCTTTCACATATGTTTCATAGTGCTTGGTATGGATCCAAGTTGAAAGCAAGTCATGGAGAGTAGCAGGAAAGTACATGGATGAGAAGTCCCTCTGCATCCACAGATACAGTGTTTGCTCATGTCACAAGGAGTTAGCAGTACGGTAGCATTTTGGATTTCTGAGCTGGTGCTCGCTGTGCTGAAAATAAATAGAAAAGCATTCTTAGATGAAACTGAGATCATTTGGAAATCAGTGTCTCAAGGATTGCTTGTGAGATTCTCAGTCAGAGCATACATACATCTCTTCCTACCCGTCAGTTTCTGCCTGTGTTTCTCTGTTCTGAGGAAGAAGACTGTAAAGGTGGAGATTTTAATAGCGTGGATAGGACTGGTTGGCTAAGGAGGATCAGAGGGAACAGACTGTGACTTTTGCCAGCAGGCTGCTAGTTTGGACATCGCTCTGTATTCAGTGAAAAAGCTTGGGGAATAGATTTTTCTTCCCACTGAGGTCCGTTCCAGATTTTAAGGAGACCAGCTCATTAACATGTGAACACAGAGACCTTTAAGGAAATTGAAAGGAAAGACAACTTAGAGTGGATAGCAGGACATGTGTTTCTATGTGATATGTCATTGGGCTGTGGAGCTCCCTTCTGCAGGATGTTAGCAAGCCAAAGGACTTAACTATATTTAATCCTAGTTGTAAAGCCACGTGGATACCAAATCATGTCTACAGTCATCAGAATTAAAGATAATACATCTGAAAGTACAACATGTTCTTCAGGTCTGATATCAATCTTGAGATCAGAACACTGATGAGGAGCAGATACTAGGGCTAGTGTATAGCCCCAGGGCTCACAGCTCCTTGCACACAACCACTAAGACCTGCCTCTCCAATGCATGTTTAGATTTAACGTGCCTGTAAGATAACGCAGGCACTTGCTGCCATGGTCAGAACCTGCCTGGAGCTAAAGGGGCCCTAAATGCATAGGGAGCCCTCTCCTGTATACCAGAACAGCTCCACCTGGCAATTCCTGGATCATTCTTGCTCCTCAGTCTGGATGAACACACCATTCTTGATGGTTCCATGTAGTAGCAATGCATGCTGAGTACCACTGAATGGATAGTCCTTAGCATGTGCCACTGGAAATAACAGGTGAGAATCTTGAACTTGCTCCTGTTACAAATACAGGCACACCCATAAGCTCTCCTTAGCTTGCTGCTTGGTAGCACCTGAAGAGAAATCACAAACTAAGCCAGGAAATATTGTTACTCTACAGACTGGTTTCTCCATAGCATGGAAAAGTGCAGGAAGTTACTGGCATGCTTGATTTCTGATTTACAGTGTTGTATGACAAAGCAGAATTGGGTATCTCCTTTCTAGAGTAAGATAAAGAAGATAAGAGGTAGCTTGTGGCTGAATTAGAGGCATGAGTGTGATAAGGAGCAACTACACAAGTAGCATTACAAGCAAGTGGAAAGGCAGGGAAGTTCAGGAAAGGAGATGCAGGTGTTTGGTAAGATCTGTCTAAGCTGGCTAGAACATCAGCACATTGTTTTCGAACATGTTGAAACACATAATGACAGTGCAGACACCCCATCCAAGTACTTTTCATAGGTGTGTTCCCACATGATTCATTTACGTGGTGTTAGAAGG